ATAGTCAATAGTGTCAGCATACACGACATAGAATCTTTGGATGCTCTAATGCCAAGGACAAAACTGTGACTTCGCGTAACGAGAATGCTCTCGAATGGCTTGCAAGTTACGTTTGGGAAAGATAACTTTGGATACATAAATCAAATTTACCTGACAGTTCTTAATCTGAATATGTGGATGACACAGAAATGACGGGCACATTATTGTATGTAATGCCAACTGTGAAATTCGCATACTTTAGTATGCTAACTGACGTGTCCGAAGAGGAGAGGCTGAAAGTGGGTGATGTTATTAAAAAGGCCAAAGTACTATACAGGGAGTCTAACGGGATAATATTCAGGTTGACCAAATCCAATCTGCGCGGGTTTATTTTTCTACATAAAACCGATGTGCCATTTGACAAAATCCCGACTTTAAACATAGTTCTGTGCAAAGATGCAGGATAATCTCGTATAACTGGATGGAGCATTATGTCTGTACAATGGAGAAAGAAATTTTAGCAGCAGAAATACTTTTCAGTCAGCGACCTTAAAGTCGGTGATATTTTCACTGTCAAGGTTACAAGAGTTGACACGAAGTTTGGCTTCGTACAGGTGCAAGCAGGAAAGATTTACGGAATTGTCGCACTGGAACATATATCCGACAGTGGTTTAAACATGTTGAATACGTTGCAAATCCAAGATAATGTCGATTGCATTCCGTGCACAATTAAGAACATCTCGCAGGACGGCGTGAGAGTTATCTTGCCCGTCGAGGATTACTCCACATTCGGATTCATCTCATACAAGAATATCAGCGAGTTCGAGATGTTGCGTGCGAATCAGATATTGCTCGTTAAAATCACGGCTATCAACAAACGAGAAAAACAACTGACGCTGACGATGGGATTGAAAGACTTGTGCTGTCAAGCACGGGCTGAAGATGCTATTGGTGGTGGATGTTTTGAGCTTGTACCTCAATAAATTGTCGGAGTTGGCAATTAATGCGTTTTACAAAAACAAATCGATCTCGTCCATGACTTTAGGTCATAAAGTCACAGGCGAGGTCGAGAAGATCACCGAGCACCATCTTGTACTAGACAATGTACTTCGACTAGATAATAAACTGACGGGCGTAGCTGTCCGCGCGTGCATGCTCGGTGGTGAGCACCGAACAACTCGCTGAGGCTCGACGACGTCGAACGATACTTCCAGTGATGCGCATTACCGCTACTGGTGACGGAATGACGGATGTTCGGCACGTAACCGGCTGGCGAATACCTGCTGATGATGTCCGCCGCAGACGTATTGACGAGGTTGCGCTCCCTTGAGGACGAGGCGCTCGATGTGGAGCCGCTGTACCTGCCGCTGCCGGTGCCGGCCGTGTCACCGTACGACGACGATGAGACTAACCTGGAAAATTGCGACACTACGTGAATATCACGGCTATCTCTCATCGCTTGGTTTTGCCAAGCCGGGCCCGCGGCCAAGGGCGCTCTCTCTCTCTCTCTCTCTCTCTCTCTCTCTCTCTCTCTCTCTCTCTCTCTCTCTCTCTCT